CTCCACAAAATCCACAGACCTTACGTTGCATTGACTTAATCCTTTATCCGGGACTGACCGCCCGGCAGATCCTCTCTTCACCATTCTCCCCGACTCTCTCCCACCTATTCTTACAAAGACAATGCAGGAGAATGATGGTGGTTCTCTGCATGAAGCGATCGGTGGTTCATACGGCCATGCTAGGGAGGCTACAGAGAGCCCTCAGAAGCCCTAGGGCCATGGCAAGTCCAGAGTGAGTGGATAGACGGACAGCCACTCACCATCAGTGTCAAAGTTCAGAAAGCCAGAGATAGAAGGCAAGAGACCATCACTAAGCAGTGTTTCTGTTGGTTCAGGCAGGGGTTGTCGCAGGCAGCTGCCCCTCTCGGGCGCCCTTACTTCTGGGTTTGTCTCGTCTGCTTGATCCTTTTGATCCTGGAGGCCATGCGCCGGTACCAGCCAGTTCTTTCTTTGTCTTTGCCACAGAGGCATCCCGCTCGCACCTGCAGAGGTTCCCTCCTGTTCGCAGCTCAATGCCGCCGTCCACTTCCCGTCCGGTACGCCGGGCAACCAATCCATCCTACACTCGCCGAGCCCTCCAATTGTTCTCACGGCTTCCCTCTCAGGGAAATATTCCGTTATGACACCCCCAACTCACATGTCCCATTGTTTCGTACTGTTTTGCACTACGGAGGGCCTCCCTCCCTTTCTAGCGAAGCGTTATTCATCAGAGAGGAGGATTTCGGGTGAGTCCATGCACTGAATTGAGTCACCCTGCAACAGCAAGGGCAGGTCGGAGGTGGAGGTGGACGCCACGGGGTTTGAGAATATAGATGGGGTGGTTGAGGCCGTCTTTTTGCAGCAGCCCGGCCGCTACGCACCGTGAGGAATCAAGAAAGAGACACACACACCGAACGACGATTAACTGGCGTCTCTGATGGATATGTGTGTGGTGTGCTTGGCCTTTTTGTGCTGTGTCTGTCCTCTGGAGGCGGTTCCCGGGGGAGAGCAAGGGGTACGACGGCGACTTCTGGGAAGCGGCCCCTTCCTGGCTGCGTCCAGAGATGCTGAGTGAGAACTTCGTGCCGATCGCCCAAATCGTTCACGTCGTTCATGAGCGTGAGCATGACGAAGATGGCGGCGAAGCCCCAAAGCCTCAGCCCGGGAGGCCAGTGGACCCATCTCGTTCACTGTTCGCGGTTCGTGCTGCTGTGGCTCTCTGTGCCCATGTCCTTACAACATGAACACGTCCTGTGGGGGTGCGGTGCACGGGTGGCGTCGGTGGACGTGCTGGGGTGATGAGCAACGGTTTGGCGATAGCAAGCGAAGCTGCGATAGAGGTGCCTGTGCGGTGCAGTGACTGTCGTCTGGTCCCACCGTGTCTCTCGTCTGGTCCCACCGTGTCTTTCTCTTGCTGGGAATCAATGTGATGGATCGATCCATGTTATGTATGTTGACGGGGTGATCTGCGTGTGCGTACGCGATGGAGGAGACATGTGGAGGGTTCGCCTGCCTAGGCGCGCTGGATGGGTCGGATCCGTGTGCATCTGCATGTGCCTGTGCCTGTGTGCGACGGGATGAGATGAGATGCCGGCCGGACTATGAGACACGTGACGCGAATCCATGCCGTGAATGCAATGCAGACGATGTTGCGTACCATTACGTACGTACGTGTGTTGCGCAACTTCACGCAGCGCAGTGCTACGCAGTGGACGGACAGTCAGGTTCACACAAATGCACACACGCAGGGAAGGACAAATGGAGATGTATATAGAGACAAACGAGGCAGCGCCAGTACAGAAAAGGGCAGGATACACTCAGCTAACACACACACAAACACACACACACAAAACACGAAAGGAAGTCGCCGCGGGAAGTTGCGGCAGCCATGCGCAGCTCTGAGTAACAGGTGCTCATGCGATACAGACAGATGTAGAGCGCCCGCCCCTCACCCCGTCTGTCTGTCTGTCTCTCTGTCAAGCCCCGGCTTTTGGTCGCTCGGGCGGTCTGTGGCTGGAAAATAATGCAGGCGTGCAATGGGGTGGGGACATACACAGTCGTCGGTACGATTACAGTGCCCTTCAATTGCACCCACGTCCTTTGTGCGTGTGTGTGTAGTGCAGACATGGCGTAATGGTGCCTTCCTCTCTGAGTGTGTCGCATCTATGTGACTGATCTTCGCCAGCTGCGCATTGGTCGTATCCATCCACCATCCATTACTAACTCAGCTCAGCACGCCGGCAAGTTGAACGAATTGGCAAAAGACAACGTCGGATCAGCTGAATGTCACACACGGCGTGCCAAAAGGCAGGCTGCTGGGTGTCTCCTGCCTCTGTTGTCGACTTTTGCTAGGGGTATAGCACTGCCGCGGCAGATCATCACGAACTTGGCAAAAGACAACGGCGTGCCAAAAGGCAGGCTGCTGCGTGTTCTTTCTCCTTGTCTTGTCCGCGCGGCCTCTGGACGGCTGCGAAAGGCGGACCCCCATCAGCGATTCAGCCATCCGCTGCCGGCGGCTGTAAACTTGCTGTAAACTCCTAGGGCCTCTTTGGTATTCAAACACCTCGGGGCGATATACGCAGAGGGGGGGCGGCCTGCGTGATGGCACCAGGATTCCGAGAGACCGGCAACCCCGATGATCTGACGCCAGAGGAGTGGACCGAAATGCAGCAGGAAGCCGAGAAGGAGAGAGAGAAGGAGAAGGCACGCCAGGAGCAGCGTGACCGCGAGGATAGGGAGGCCGACTTACAGCCGACCCCGGCCCTCGAGTGCTTCCCGCAGCAGTTTGCTCGCCTCTATCGCTCCCGCAAGGCCATGCCCATAGACAGACCTGAAACGCTGCCCGCACAGGTACTGTACTACGTTTGCACATGAAAGAGCACACTCAGCCACGTGATGATGTTTTTTTTTTCGTGTGTGCGGCCACACATGGATGGATGGATGGATGGTGCAATTAATAAGGTGACGGATGGGTTCCAGCACTGGCAGCCGGACGACCGGACGGGGACGATGTTCATGTACACGCCCGGCACGGGCATGTGGCAGGAATACTGGTTTCACCTCATAGGTGGGGGAGAGAGAAAGAGAGAAAAGAGAGGCGTCTGGTCAGATACATATAGATAGCGGGCGGGATGTGTGTGCTGTGTTGTGCTATGTTGGGCTGTGTTGTGCTGGTCTTGGTTGCTCAGATCACTGTTTGTTCTTTGCTGAGAGCGAGGAGGCCCACTACCCGCTGGGCGTGCTGCTGGTGGACAATTGCGCCATCTGTCCGACGGACATCAACGCGCAGTGGGACCACAACACACAGACACTCGAACACGTACGATGGGACGCACCAACGCGCACCATCACAACATACAAGAGACCAGAACACGTCTTCTCTTCTCCCCTGCCCGCCACTGCAGCCATTCGAGTATTCCTCTCCGCTAGCCCACATCGGCCTCGCCCCCCCGGCCAAGCCGCCCACACCCATCCTCCTCTGCCTCATATCAGAGGGCAAGAGGAAGCCGCTGGCCCACGAGCTGTACTGCGCGATGCGTGACGGTCAGGTGGGGGAGGAGGAGAAGGGCCGCGTCAACGACAGCATGGCGGCCACCCACGCCACGGCGACGGTCGGGCTGGAGAGTTTGGCGGATGAGGGGGACGGCACGCTCGTGTGGTTGGCGTTCAGGCGGGTGGAGACTAGGTCAGATGGACCGACCGCTGGATGGATGGGTAGGGTGGATGGATGCATGGATGGGTGTGATGTGTTGTGTTGTGTTGTGTGTAGGGATTGGTGGCAGGACGAGATAGCGAATTGTAGCCGTGTGCATCAGGAGTTTGAGTGGCGGTGGCTCATCCGACTCGCCGACCAGAGATACAACCAAATGAAGGAGGTGACCAACCAACCGCGGACTTGGAGGGAAGGAAGAAATACACATGCTCACTTCCGTGTGTATCCATTTATCTGGCCAGTACGAGGATCAGGTAGCCACCCTGACGAAAGAGGTAGCTGCCCTCAAGACACAGGTGGGTCACATTTTCCCTCTCACCCATCCATCTATCCATCCATCCATCCATCCCCGGCACGTTCCTCATGTGTGTCCGTCATGAGTGTGTGCAGACGTTGCTGCCCTTCCACGACGCTCTGACCAACCGGCAGCAGCTGGCCAAACTGGCAGAGGTCAGTGGGCGGGCTAGGCCAACAATGAAGGTCTGTGTGTGTGTATGGTTCTGCTGTTTGGCTTGGTCGTGGTCAGGCCCTCAAGACGCATGGGTTGACGCTGGATGTCGTGAGCCTCGACGAGGCCTCACCGCACCACCAGAAAAAGGATATGCAGCTGTACCCACACGCAGGTCCATACACTCACACACAGAGGGCACAGCCCTTGCTGCATCGTCTCCTTCCTTCAGGCATGTCGCTCCCCCGCCACTCGCCCGTCCACTCGGCTCACGGCACCTCGCCCGTCGAGAGTCCGCCGCAGATTCTCCCCAGCAAACAGACGCAGCTGACGCGGCCACATTTACCCACGACAAAGCCACACGGATCCCCCCACCTCATCAAGCCACCGAATCCTGTGCCGGCCGTCGGTCGAGTCAAGAAGGGTCCTGCTGGTGGTGCCTCCGGTGGTGGTCATGTGGGCGTGATGACGATGATGGGGGAAGGTGGGGTGCAGAGGTCCAAGACGGGCCCTGAGACTGCGGGGAGCAAGGGGCGTGCCAAGGGAGATGATACTGCTGGACGAGGTGGGTCGATAAACAGGCCGCTAATCACGTCACCTTCTCCACCACCATGTGTGTGTCGTATGGCTGTGTCAGCTGAGGTGCCCATTGAGAGCAAGCCACTGCTCGAGGAAGCCCCCCCCTCATACACATACGAGCTGCCGAGCCTCAAGGTGCTGCAAGACTCCCAGAGCCTCCCACACCTCTCATTCAGGCGACCCACCACTACCAGCACCAGCAACACTGCTGCCAGGGACGAGCAGGAGCCCTCAACCGGCATAGAGGAGACACTGGGCGGGGCCGAGGGAGAGACGGAGGACAGAGAGGAGGAGGGGGCTGACGCCACGTCGACCAAGCCCCACAAGGAGACACATCTGATCACCGTGCAGCACAAACACCACCCGCCGGCGGTGCCACACAGCAAGCCCAAGAAGCCCAACGTGATGCCACGGGGCCACGGCCACCCCGCCGACGTGCACGTCACCCCATCGCACCTCCCTACAGACCGTTTTAGCATACCCCCCTCCTCCATCAGCAGCAACAGCAAGGGCGGGCCAGGGGCGGCGGCGGCGGCGGCGAGCATCAGCAGCAGCTCCCGCCTTCATGCAGGCCTGGCACCCACTGTGCCCCCCTTACCCAGATCAGAGCTAATAGCACGGGCCGAGAAGGTGCTGGGTCAGCAGGGGGTGAGGCCCAAGGGATCGCTGGTAGGTGGTGTTGGTGTGGGCAGCGGGAGCAGCGCTAGAGAGGGTATCCATGCTTTTGTGGGGGCGGTGGGGGAGGTGGGCCGGGGGCTGACTGCGAAGGCTTACGGCATTCTGCCGCAGAGGCCGCTGCCCTCGCAGCCTCTACGGATGGGGCTCGAGGGGCGCAACGACACACCCACTAGCACTACCCAGGTACACGCGCCAGTGAATGCAGCAGGATCAGGTGTGTGTGGATGTGTCTGTGTGTGGATATGTGTGTGCGTGTGTTTCTCAGTTGCATCACCGTGTGCACGGCACACCTGGCGGGAGCCATCGCGATATCAAGAAACTATGACTGACATGACTGATACGACCCATTAATCAGCGGATGGGCGGATGTTTAGCCCAGGGTGGGGAGAGTAGTGCTTTCGTGGTGTGCACGATTGACTGACTTGCATATCGGAGTGGGGGTGAGGATTCGGAGGGGAAGGGACTTGGTGTGTGTACCGTAGCTAGCTAGATCAATTAACGGATACATCCATACATATGGGCGGATGCATGCATACAGTCACCTCACCGTCACCACCGACTCACTCGCGCCTGCACAAAGGCACTTGCTATCGACACAGACAAGGTGGTAGTCCGGGGGCTCACCCATCGACGAAGCGCAGAACGACAACAACATTGAGACGGTAGAGGTCACCAACACACAGACAGGGTCTCGTGCGGCCGTTCCATCAGCGCAGAGCTTGTCGCTGCCTCTCCCTCTCCCTCCCCTCATCCTCATCGCCCGCCCCCGTCAGGTGTGCCGTCATCAGCCGCACCTTCCGCCCACTCTTGTCGATGGTGTCCAGCTTCTCCTGCGCCTTCTTGACCTCGTCGCGGTCCATGCGGTCGTTGGTGCGCACGTGGCTCTCCAGCAACGCCCCCAAACAAGAGGTATTCGGACGCAGCATCTGAATGAATGAGCTCACAGACAGCAAACCAAGGAAACGGTGAGGAAACAAACTGACTGGTGCGTAAGTGTCGTTGGCGTACCCGATTAGACGGTAAGGGTCTCTCCTTCTTCTCGTGCCTCCTACCTGCACACACACACAATCACACACAACGCGCACAGGCACATGCAGGCGCAATTCATGCGCTCTGCGTGTGGTGCTTCCGTGATCTCACCCCACCTGGCCTTTCCCGTCTCCTGTCATCGTCTTCCAGAGACCTCGAACGTGACCTCGAGCGCCTCCTGTAGTGTCCCCGTCCCTTGACCTCCCTCCTCCGCCCTTCATCACCCGATGATGATGAGCTCGAGCTGCCGCTGCTGTCACTCGACGAGTGCCGCCTTCGAGCGCCGCGGCCGCGGCCGTCATTGTCCGAGTCGTCAGAGGTGTAGCGGGGAGGCTTGTGTGGTCCGGCATCTGCATCGCCTGACTTGGATGATGGTTTCTTCCCATCGTCACGGTCAATGTAGACATGGCGAGCGCTCTCGGATCTGTTCACGTCCACCATCTTGGGAGAAACGTCGAAGCAGCAGCAGCGGTTTCAGGGAGCACCCTAGAACAAAAGCGAGCTCGAAGGTCTGGAAGCCAAGCTCTGGAAGAGGAGAGGCAGCCGAAGGCCAGAAGAGGAATGGCCTTTTAACTAAGCGAGTGCTGCTCCCCGTCCCTGTCCTTTGGCTCTTGTATGTTGGGAGATCAATGTCGGTGCCTCAAAGTGCGCACAACGGAGGGTACGCACAGCCGCCGCGTCCTGGAGAGATGGCCAACCCCATGACGACAGCCTACCCGCAGCATCACCATCCCCAGCAGCTGATGTCCTATCCCCTCACTCACGCACACCACCCCTCCAACCAGCAGCAGCAGCCAGCCTACCCACACCCACAGCCACAACCGCACCCATACCCGACCAGCGAGATGGCAGGGCCAGGAGGGGGGTTCGCCGGCTACCCAGGCACAGCAATGGACATGCGAGGTGCCCCTCCCGGCGGTGTCACAGGAGGAGGCGGTCAAGGACAGCCCTTGAACCACTACCCGGCAGGCTCGCCGCCACCCAACGCCACCGCCACGGCTGCCATGCCTGGCGGTCCCCCAGCCGTGGTCATGTACCCGCCCACGGCCGCCATCCAGATGGGTGGCCACGGCCAGCCGGGCGGACCACCTACCTCAGCGACCATCCCGGCACACCTGCTCAACCAGGTGCAGCAGATGCAGCACATGCAGCTGCTGCACCAGGCCATCGCCGCATCGGCAGCAGCGGCGGGCATGCCCCTGCCGCCCAACGCCAACATGCTGCAGGCGGCCAGCGTGCTCCAGCAGCAGCAGATGATGGAGCAGATGGGCATACCACAGCCACCGGCCACAGGAGGAGCAACATCGGCGGCAGTCCTACCGCCACCAGCCGAGTACACGAGCCTGCGCGAGGGGAGGCGGCCGGTCGTCAAGCAGCAGGCAACCAAGAGGGACAGCAGCGACAGGGGTGTGGGGCCGGGAGAGACGATGCCCAACGGCAACGGCAGTATGTGTAACGGCGAGGGGGACAGTGGTTTGTTGAGTGTGGTGTTGGACGGGCTGATGGCGCAGATCGCCAAGGAGCCCGTCGACAAACCCGACATAAGGTGGCCCTCAGAGGGGGACCACCCCGACGCATTCCCGGTAGGTAGGCCCTCATTCTATCTGTCTGTCTGTCACAGTATGGACGCCAAGCCTCATGGAATGTCCGTCTGTCTGTCTGTCTGTCTGTCATGTTGTGTTGTAGGTGCGTAACATATTTGGTGAGATTCCCGAGGGGGTGTTGGGGACATATCTCGGCACCATTCAGGTGAGCCAGTGAGCTCTGAGAGCATCTTATTTACTTACATAGACGGACGTTATGGTGTGTGTCGTGTCCACCCACCCAGGGTTTCCCCATCACAACCACGGGCATGCCGCCACCCCACCAGCTGCCGCAAGGAGGAGTGGCGCCACCGCCGCATGGCCACCACGGGGGACCAAACGCATGACGGAAGGACCGATCAGTGCAGGCAGGCAGGCAGGCAGACCAAGCCAATAAGGCGAGACGAGGCGAGAGGATGCGTGTGTGATAATGATGGATGGATGGATGGATGCCGCTGATGTGGGCAGGCGAGGATTGTTTTCAGAGTGCGTGTGAGTGAGAAAGGGGGCGGGAGACTGTGGGGCAGGCAGGTAGGCAGGCTGGTTGGTTGTCTCTGGTGAAAGCATGCACACATCACCGTTGTGCGTGCCTTCGCTCGCTCGCCCGACCGACCGACCGACTTACTCGGCTCTCTTCTGCTAACTTCCAGACAGCAGCTGTTTGTGTGCCTGAGCGGCAGGCAGTGTGACTGTGTGACTGTGTCGTTCGGTGCGTGGGTGTGAGTCCGTGAGTGCATGCTCTTATGAGTGAGTGGTATGTGCGTGTGGACAGTGGCGAATCTGTTGATGCTGGTATGTACGGGAATTAGCTACCTTACGCATGAGATGGATGGATGGATGGATGGCGACGTTTTGACGTATGTGTTTCTGACTCATTCCTGCGTCCCTTTGTGAGTGAGTGTTTGGGAGGTGTGGTGGGCTGGCTCTCCTGGCCTTTTGTCCCCTGGCGGTCTGCGTGTGGCTTGATGGATGGATGGATGGATTGAAATTGTGCATGGTGCGTGCGTACATTTGTTGCTCTCTCTCCCTCTCTCTCTGTGGGTCGCTGGATGGGCCGATGGGCGTACACATAAGAATCCCCACTACCCCTACTTACTTACACACAGACAGACAGACATACATACACGCACGCAAGCACCGTACACACCACACGTGCATCCGCATGTGCCCCCCATGGGATGTACCTACCTACCATCCAGAGCAGAAAGACATGACTGATTCTATTCGGGTGTCTGTCTGTGTGTCTGCATCTGCCTGCCGGTGTGGCGTGCAATTCCCCGGCTTGCGTGGCCGGCCCCGTCCCGTGAGAGAGAATGTTTGGTGCCCCGTGCATGCCATGGGCATGGCATGCTTCTTGCTTGCTCGCTTCTATGACGTACCAAAACAACCCTACTTACGAATGGCTGGGCTGGGCTGGCTTGACCTACCTACCTGGCTGGGTGTGCGTGTGGGTGTGGGTGTGGGTGCTGCTGTAGAGTACACACATCACGCTCCTCTCGTCTACACACATGACTTTTTCCACGTCGTGGCTGGCCGAGGTGGGTGAGTGCGGGAAGGGGAGGAAAGCAAGCAAGGTGAGCCAGGTTCGATTTATGTCACCCCGCCCGCCTACCCACCAGCCCACACTCATCATATCAGCACAGCCACCCTCGCTTCTTTTCCGCGTGTGTGTGTCGTCGCTGTCTGGCCGGCTGACCGATCGCTCGACACAATCGCATGAGTGAGTGGCATGGTCCGACCCACCCCCGATTGTACGCCTGGCTGTTGTCTGTCTGTCTGTCTGTCTGGTAACCAGCCCCCCCTGTGCTGTCCTCCTTGCTTACCCCGCTGCGACTCTTTTTCCCCAACTGCCTGCCTGCCTGTCTGCCTGTCTGCCTATCTGGAGGTCTTTTTCCGCAGAAGACCACTCACTCACTCCTCGCCCACTGTCTGAGTCATTCACTCACTGACTGGATGCTGGTACTGACTCTTGCTTGCTTGAAGGAACGAACGGCGTGTATTCTGTATATATTGCAGCAACACTGATGGATGGATGGATGGATCGGTGGATCGGTGGAAAGGGCCTTCATTTCTCGCTCTGGTGTGTGACTGTTGGCTTCGCTGGTGGTCAGTGTAGGGAGCGGTGAAGATGGTGAGGATGGCCAGCATCTGGACGGCCGGCGGGGTGGCTGGCTGGCTGGCTGGCTGGCCGATCAACGAAGAAGGAGAGGAGGAAGGCGTTTGTGTGTGTTTGTGTCTGTCTCTCTTCTCATCCAAGTCAGCACACGATGGCACGGCAGACGGGCGGCAGACGGGCAGACTGTCTATGCATGAGCTAACGATTGGTGCGTGCGTCTGCCTTCCTGCCTCGCTGCCTGCGCCACCTACCAATGTGTGTGTGTGTGTGTGTGTGTCTTTCTGTGTGTCTTTCTTCCGTGTGCTGTCTGTCCTGTGCTGCGCCGTGGACGGATGATGGGATGGGAAAGACAGACAAAGTGTGCCCAGCCCACCTGAGTGAGAGCATTCATTCATGTGTGCACAGTGTGTGAATGAATGAATGAATGAATGTGTTTTGTTGTTGTTGTTGATCATCGACGCGTGTTGGAATGCCTCCTCCCCTCCCTTGATCCCTTCGTCCCATCCCCTGCTTACGCGTGACGTGACACGTGTGTTCGTGTGTGCATTGACTGCAATGCATTGCATTCATGAAAAGCGATCTGACTGTCTCTCTGTCTGCTTGACAAGACTTTCAGTAGCTGCGTTGGGTTCGAACTCGGGACAATTCGGATCACGCCACGAACTCCTCCGCCACTCAGATAACCGGTCTGAGCCGTAAGGTGCGCACTTCACCGCACTGACCCTGCTCAAACGTCAGGCCTCCTCACATTTGCACCTTCTGGCTCTCACCCAGTTGGCACATGCAAGTGGCTGACCTGCCCTCGAAACCCCTTCCGTACCATCCTCAAACACTCAACTCGGCCCCGACCCTGTGGCGGTATTGACTCGAGTGGCGCTTTCAGTAGCTGCGTTGGGTTCGAACTCGGGACAATTCGGATCACGACACGAACTCCTCAAACGTCAGGCCTCCTCACATTTTATGAGCAAGGGGACGCCCCCATGTCTGTTTGAGACGCTGCGAGCTTCAAGTTGACTCGACAAAAAGAGGTTCTGACGGAAAGATGGAGTCGTACTCTGTCGGCTTCACGATATTCGACGCCAGAGGCCTTGTCACACCCTCAGGAGGCCCAGTCGACCCCGTAGGGCAAAGAAAGACGGACGCTCACAGGGCTGATTGATTCATTGATTCTGTCTGAGTGTGTGCAGTTGGTGGTGGTGCGCTGCTGCGGTCAGGAGTACCGCACCGACATCAAGCGATCCAAGCAGGAAATCGTCGTGTGGAACGAAAGCAAAATATGGTCAAACCTCCAAATGGTACGTGTCTGTGTCTGTGTCTGTGTGTGAATGAATGCTCACCATCTCATCTCTATGTGCCGTGTGTGTGTGTCATGGGTGTGTGTGTGTGCGTGTGTGTCAGTATCCCGATCAGTTCTCGTCTGCCTTCATCGAGTTTGAGGTGCAGGCGCGAAACGCCTTTTGGCGCAACGACGTCATCGGCAAATGCTCACTGCAACTCGAGATGATCAGGAGGTACACAACACACGCAGGGACAGACATGACACAGACGGCCACAAGTGAATGCATTCGTGTGTGTGTGCGTGTGTGCTGTGTTGGTTGGGTGCTCAGGCGTAAGACTCACCAGTACACCAAGAAGTGGCTGACTCTGTACGGCGAGAACCAGACGGGCGGCATGGGCATCATCAAAATCACCGTATTTGCCGTCGGACCTGGTAGGTCGCATCGCATACCCAGCAAACTTATCCTTATTCCTCCCTTATATATTGTGAATCGCTTGATCGATCATTCAATGGGTTAGGTGACCAGCCCCCTAGTCCCGACGACGACATGGCGGACGCGCAGGACGAGGAGGGTGAAAGGGAAGACCTCGAGGACCTACACAAGGCCGTCCTCGGTAAGAACGCTGTAGTCAGTCGATATAGTGCCCTCTTCGCATGTCCTACATGACATGTGTGTGTACTAAATCGGTGGCAATGGCAGGTGGGGCCGAGGGCACGGCAGGGGTGACGGGCAAGCCGCACCACCTGTACGTGTCGATCCACAAGGTGGAGCACCTGCCCAAGCAGTGGTGGGGCGGACCTAACCCATACGTCACCTGCGGCTTCGGCGGGTCGCTACTCAAGTCCTCCGTCGCAAGGAACACCACCTCACACACATTCAACGAAGTAAACAGACACCACACCAACGAGCGCATCGCATACGTGAGGTGAGTGGTGTGTTGGTTCGGTCCATGGCATGTGTCGATTAGATGTTTCGCCTGCCGGTGGTGACGCCCGTGTTTGAGGACTCGGTCGTCGTGCAGTTGTGGTCGGAGAGCCTGATGGGGCCGGACGAGCTGCTGGCGCAGGGGAGACTCTCCTTCTCTGAACTCAGGTACACCCACAACCACATCCAGTAACTAGTGGAAATGCCGCCATGCGTGTCTGTCTGTCTGTATGCGCAGGAATCACGCGATGCAGCCGCGCTACTTCAACTTCTACGGTTTCGACAAGGAGGAGATCCCCGACATCGGCCCCATCATCGCCACGGGGGCGGTGCTGCAGCCCAACTGCTTTCAGGGCAGGATGCTCATCAGTGCTCGCGTGGAGAGGCTCGAGAGCGAGGAGGACCTGCAGGATGCCATGGTGCTGTCCGCCAAGACCCACGAGGAGCCCCACCAGATATCGCTGGCACTGCTCGGTGACGTCTATGAGGTGCAGAGGGAGGGAGTGAGGGAGGGAGGGAGGGAGGGAGGGAGGGAAGACACTGGTTCCATCAACGAATATGTGCGTGTGTGTGTGTAGGCGACGGGCATTAGCGGCCGTGAGTGTCAGGTGGTGATCCAGTGCGGCAGGGAAGAGAGATGCACTCCCGGATGGGCACAGCTCGACTATGTAAGTAGCCACACACAGCACAGCCACCCAGCCCCCCCAGCACACACCAGACATAGCCTAGCCAGACGCCCACTTGTGTATGTATGTGTGTGACCTTCCACAACGCCTGCAGGAGAAGAAGCAGCGTCGTGGTGGCGAGGAGGGGTGTCCCTTCACCTTCACTCGTCAGCAGGGCCGCATCTCGCAGCTCAACGTCATGTGCTGCGAGGACGACAACCAGGCATACGACGTCGTCGTGTCCGTATACACACGCGGAGTCATCTCGGGTACATACGACGCAGGACGTAGTAGAAGTGCAACACCCATTCACCCATTCTTCCTGTGTGTGTGTGGGTGTGTGTGTGTGTGTGGACGATGTCAGCCAGGAAGCGAGTGGGTTTCGTCCGCATGCCTTTGCGCAAGGTGCCGCCACTCGACGAGGGACACCCACGAGTGCCCACGTGAGACGAACCATCCGGCCGTCCCCTCCACTCCACCAGCTATGCATTTCCTCTTGTGTGTCCATCCCTCCCATCCACGTGTGCAGTTGGTTCACCTTGACCCCGATGCCGAGTGTGGGTGAGGCGCCCCCCGAGAAGCCTGGTGCGGTGCTCATGACGCTCGAGAGGGCCGAGAAAGAAGACGTCGTCAGACCCACCAGGAAGAACGTCATCGCTTCGGTACGCATCCGTGCAAGGCAGGCAGGTGTGTGCATTTCTGTATGTGTCTGTGTATGTGTGTGTTTGTGTGTCAGGACTATGAGTTGCGGTGCTACATCTACATGGCGCGGCAGCTCAAACCGCCCTCACAGGAGAACCCTTACCCAATGGTCGGTTCGTCTGCCTGTCCATCTTGCAGAAGCCCCATCCCCCCCACACACACATACACATGTCTCTCTCTCTCTCTCTCTCTCGCATGTGCTGGTGTCGTGTCGTACGTGTGCATCCATCAGCTGGAGGTGTCTTGTGCGGGTGTGAGTGCCGAGACGGCGGCCAAGAGCGGCACCACCAGCCCCCACTGGATGGAAGCCCTCAAGCTGGACGTCAAGCTCATGACGCCCACACCAACCAAACCACCCACAATGGAGCCAATCACACTCGCCGTCTACGACAAGACGCTCTTCAGGAAAGCGCTCGTCGGCAAGGCCATCGTCAACTTCGGCAGGTGGGTGGGGGCGTGGGTGTCGGTGTGGGTGTGGGTGATGGGGTGTGAATCGAATCGGTGTGTGTGGTGTGCTGGTTGGGTGACCGACAGGATGCGCCAGAAGGATGTGTTGGGTCAGTGGGACAAGTTCCAGCTGTCGCCCCAGTGGATCAAGCTCAAGGGCGGGCCACACGCCTCCAAACACGTGGGCGACGTCATGGTCGCCTTCGAACTGCTCAGGTAGGTACACACCTTCTGGTGGCTCAGCCTGCTCACCAGCAGGCAGGGGCCCGTGTTTGTCGATCGGCTTTATCGGTGGGTCGGTTGGTTCCAATGGATGGATGGATGAATGGATGCAGGAAGAAGCACGTGGAGGAGCTGCCGATGCAGGACATGGCACCACGACTCAAGGAGGTCAACCTCAACCTCTCCATACTCGGACTCAGGTGGGCGCGGTGCGGCTGACAGCCAACCAGCCAGCCATATCCCTAATGTGTGTGTCGGGTCGTGTTGTGCAGGGACCTGGTGGCTCCTGCCGTCGCCGGCATCCTGCCAACGCCCGTCGCGTACCCATACATAGAGGTCTCAGGTGCGTACGTACCTACGTCAGCCAGCATAGCATACACGCCTGCAGGCACTGCACTGCACACTCTCGTGGATGGATGGATGGATGAATGTGTGTGCACGGCAGTAAGTTCGTTCACGGCGACGGCGAGCACCCATCTGCTGGACATCCCCTACACACCCAAACCTGACCCCAACAACAGAGACCCCATCATGCAGAACAAGTAAGTAACCACAACAACAACACCACCACCCTCACCCCACTTGTGCAGTGCATGGTCGTCATTCATTGATTCATTCCATGCAGGTGCTGGACGTCCAAGGCCGGCACGTCATTCGACTTCCTCTCTGCGAAGCGTGTGCCGGTGCTGCTGCCGGTGCGGCCCGTGTGGGACCCCATGCTGCACATCAAGGTGTTCGACAAAGGGCTCATCGGCCTGCAGGCCACCTACATCGGGGAGACCTCCATCCAGCTGGCGCCTTACTTGCCGTGGGTCGACGATCCCGAGGAGGCCTACCTAGCCGTGGAGGGACAGGAGGACTACCAGGGGGTGGGCATGCACACCCACGCACCTTTCTGCTGGCAATGTAGAGGGAAAATGGCGTTGTGTGTGTGTGATTGTGTGTTTGTTAGGACCGCACTTTGGAAGACGTCGACGGCAAGATGGACGTGAGCACCCGGCGGGGGTCCATGTACAGACCAGAGAACATCCAAAAGCTGCAGGTACGGCAGGGAGGGAGGCAGGGAGGCACCGAGGGAGGGAGGGAGGGAGGGAGGGAGGGACCAAACCATCCATCCATCCATCCATCGATTGATTGATATGCGACCGACCAACGCGCCACTACCCACTGTGACCGTGTGTGTCCTTTGGTTGATTGACGTGCAGGGTGGCCAGGCGGAGTGGCGTGTGGGCAAGAAGGGCGTGCAGATTTCCGAGGTCATGATAGCAGAGGAGGAGGACGAGCTCTCCACCTATCAGAAGAAAATAAGGGACTTCAGGAACCAAATCCGGGAATCCCAAACGCAGGACATGGTGCCAACGGTAAGCACCTACTGCTTGCTCGTCCTGATGGATGGATGGATGGATATGTACCTGTCTGTGTTCATTCATCAGGACGAGGCGCCCTCCCGCCCCCTCCTCCTCTCATCAGGCATCCCCGCCTGCCTCCATGACTACTACAGGGTCTGCAACACAACACAACACAACACAACACACCGCACCACAATCCACCCGCGCCGCGCCCCATGTCATGTGTCTGGCGGTATGTATGTATGGTGTGGTCAGAGTCGGCCCGCGCCCACCATCCGCACGCGTGAGCTGTCGCTGAACGTGCAGATCCCGTCCAAGTTTGTCATTCTCAAGGAGGGCCAGGCGGGGAGGGCCAAGGCGACCCAGGACAAGGCGAGAAGGCCGCGGGTCGAGGGCGGCCTGGAGGGGATGCTGGACGACTTGCACTGGCGCGCCATGCCGCTGACGAGGGGAGGCAACAAGGAACAAGTGTTCGGATACTTCAAGGCAAGCAGGGAGGCACAGCTAGCTGCACAGGGAGAGGGCCGCATTCATTTAGACGACACACGCGTGAATGAGTGGGCGATATGCGATGTGTGCAGGGTGTGATACTGCTGGAGCATGGCGGCAGGCGGTCCATCATGGTCGAAAAGACCAAGAAAGACCTCCTCGAGTAAGTCAGTGAGTGAGTGAGGGAGCAAGGAGCGACGGCTGAAAGCAATGGGCCGCACCACACGACACACTTCATGCCATGCCGATGTGGCTGTGGCTGTGGCTGTGGCTGTGGCTGCCTGTCTGTATGCGTCTGTGCGTCAGCTACGCATTCGAGGCGTCCACTCTGCGCGAGTACTTCAAGGTCACCACCAACTCACCCAACACAACACACAATACCACCCACCATGCCACTGTGTGAGTCTGCCTGTCTGTCTGCATGGTCAGGACAAGAGTCGTTTGCCGAGCCGCGTGCGGCTGCGCATCTATGTGGTGCGGGGCATCGCCGTGCAGGCGCAGTACGGACCTTACCTCGAGTTCACCGCCGGCACACACGTGGTCAACCTCAGAAGCTTCAAGAAGTCACAACTCCTGCAGCCGGAGTTCTGGAGGACAGAAGAGGTATGTAAATGCATTCAATTCACCGCATAGACACACAATGGACAGAAGGGATGGATGCTCTGCTGCTGTGCTGTGCTGTGCGCACACTGTTGTGTGGATCGATCTACATAGATGGATTTGGACTTGCCGGACAAGGGTCGCCTGGAGGTGTCGTTGAAGGACTACCACGACCTGGGGGACACGCTCATCGGCAGCACCGTCATCGACCTGGAGGACAGGTGGTTCTCGCGCCAGTGGCGGGACCTCATGTACAAGGGCGCCATACCCACCGAATTCAGAAATCTCACCGAATCCGTCACAAGGTGGGTGAGGCGGATTCCACGTCGTGTGAATGTCTGTGTGTGTGTGTGTGTGTGCCTGTCGATGCAGCCAGAGGTCTAAGGGTGTCGTGGAGATGTGGATCGAAATGTGTGAAACATCAAGGTGGGTGCAATCAACAGAATCGACACACCAGCCAGTAGGTGTGTGAGTCTTGTGCTGCCTGGCTGGATGTTGGTTGGTTGGCTGCAGGGTGTCGGAGTTCCCCCCAACTGAGCTTGAGCCGCCCAAGCCGACAGAGGTGGAGGTGCGCATCGTGCTGTGGGGCACGCGCAACGTCAAGCTCGTCGACGGCGACCATGTGGACGTCTGCATTCAGTGCATCCTCGACTGCGCACAATACCAGGTCACACACACACACACAGAGAGAGAGAGAGAGGGAGGAAGAGAGAGAGGTCTCGGTGGATGGATGGTGTCTGTGGATTACCAGGGTCGATATCCAGTGTTCCAGGAGACCGACACGCATCTGAACTCCAAGGACGGCAAGGGCGTCTTCAACTGGCGCGTCGTGTACCCCAGAATCGTCGTCCCTGTCGAAGCGTGTGTCGTGCAGGTCAGGACTGGCCTGACCTGGCAGACACACATCAGTTCGCATCACTCAAACATGCGGAGGGCATCTCGTGTGTGTGTGTGTGTGATAGGTGAAGGTGCTGGACGACAACCAGATCACCGAGAAGCAGTTCATCGGAGAGGCAAGCAGCATGCGGCCACAGCCCACCACCCCCCCACATGCGTGTGTGTGTCTTGGTTCTCAGGTGAATTTGGATCTGAAAAAGTATGTCGAGCACGTCGAGAGGAACCTCGAAACCCTCACTTTCGACGCCGAACTCAAAATATCCAACCGGTAAGCACAGCACAGCACGCCACAACACACACTGGTGGTCGCTGATGCGTGTGTTGTGCATACGTGCCGGTTGGGTGTGTGCAGTGCTGAGGGCGAAGAGGACATCGGCACGGTCATCCTCTCAATGGACATCATGACACAACCTGAAGCAGACGCAAGGAAGGTAGCTGGATGGATGGATGGATGGATTTCACGCAAGCAAGAGGGGGCACGCCACACTGACTCATCTGTGCGTGTAGGTTGGCATTCGTCGCGACGAGCCCAACCGCGACCCGCAGCTCATCACGCCAACAGAGGGCCGCGAATGGGGAGACCTCCTGGGTATGGCGACGAGACACATGCTCACCAGGCTGACAGCTCCGCTGCTTGTGGATCGATCCGGTGTGTGTGTGTGTGTGTGTGTGCAGGTTCTGTGGGTCTGACGTTCAATTTTGACTTGTTTGGGAGCCGCCTCAAGTGGATTGCTGGCGGGGCCATCCTGCTGCTCATCGTAATCATACTGCTGTACCTGGCCTTCAAACCCTGATGGATCCATCCATCCATCCACACGTCGGTCCGTCCGGCCAGAGGGCACGCCGACACATGCACTCCATGTCTCACACACATACGCAGCAATGCGTCCCTGACCTCTCTCTCTCTCTGTCTCTCTCTCTCTCGTCTCCTTGCTCGAGCTGAGTTTGATCAGCGAGGTGTTTGGTTTGCTGCTCTGCTTGCTTGCTCGCTTGTCCGTTGCATGCATGGCATGCATTCGTGAATGGATGGACGAGTGCATTCTCGCCGGCAGGTACATGTAGCTAGCTGCCCTCCCAGTAGAGGCAAGCGTGTAGCTAGTACACACCCACCCTACCCACCCACCCATCCTTGCTGTGATGTATTCTTGGCTCGCAGGTCATTTCGTGGCGTGTTTATGTGCGTGCCTGTATGTATGGTGTTGGTTCTGTGCTGTCTGTGAAGCGAATTCGTTCGAGCTAGCGTGGATTTGATGATGGTCGGACCGAAATCGTCGAGCTCATGTCTTGACTTGACCAGTCAGTCCGACATCGCAATCGATGTTCAGATCACCAAAGATCGAGTGAAGACACACATCAAACACAAGTACACGCGTGGCGCGGAAAGAGCTGTGACGTCACATGACAGAAGCCAGTCGATCACTCGAGTGACTCCCTAGCATTGTGGAAATCGGTATCCAGCTCTTCCTCGGCGTTGTTGTAGCACCAGTCGTCCTCCAACACATGCGCCAAGGCCTCGGCCTCAGCATTGTCACCTCCCGACCTGAGCACAACACACAACACATCGACACGACCAAACCTTGGGCGGTACGTTCTCGTCTGTCTGTCTGTCTGTCTCTTCGTACGTGAGTGCTTTCAGGGCTTTCACAACGTCCCAGGTCTTGATGCCGGCGACCAGGGCGACGTAGCTCATGAAAGCAGTCCCTGGCAGCATCGCCACTGTCAAAAGACTGTAGCCGATGGTGAAGCCGAGGCCAGCGAAGTGGACCGACCACGCCAGGGCTGCACATTTGCGTGCATCCTCGTCAGTGAGTGTAAGACGGCCCTTGAGAAATAGAACCAGGCTGCGAGTACGCGCACACCAACACATACATACACGCATACCGTCGAAAGGCCGTGTCTCTCCTGAGTTACGCATCGGTTATGGTGCTGTATTCTGTCAGCGAGGCCCTCTGCTTCCAGGCCGCGCTGCCGGCATAAAGGACGCCGCCAATGCCGGAAAAGAGCGGGTTGGCTGAGAGGTACCCCAGCATCGAAAGGTGCTTGACAGATGAGTCGGCTGCCTTCAGCAATGCGTCCTCATCACACGTTGCCCTGTCACGCGCACACCTATAACCTGACGATTAAGACAGAGAAGTACACACGATACGACATACATGCATTCGTGCTTACCTAAGTAGCACTCGACAGGCCGCTCTGACACAGACACACACACACACACACACTGGGCATTGTCCATCCATCCATCCCTCCCTCCCTCCATTGCCGCCTACCTGGTGGGCATAGCTGTGTCTTGTCGACTTTTAGGCACACGAGCTGGGCCTGTTCCTGCATGATGCTTTTCAGGCGGCTCACACCTATAATCACGTTGTACAAAAACAAATGAAGCGGGCTCTCGGCGGCATCGGGCAGATTGTCGATAAGGGCCTGCATCTGAACAAGACAGAGAAGAAAAACCAACAAGCTGCATGCGCCGTACTATTGTCATCTCCTGTGTCTCCTCACTTACCCATTGTGGTCGGAATTTGCAAACGACGAGCAAGGCGGGCCTCAAGTTGACTAAGTCATTACCCCTGCATGACAGAGGGATGAATGGGGTAATGATCATTCGAATGCCTCGGGGTGAGGGCACTCACACGTAAACCTTCAGTTCTTTCCAGATGGCTCTGTCCTTTTTAATGGCCTTACACACGTCGGACTCCACCTTGGCAAGCTGAATCCCCCGGCGGATGGCGCGGGGGTGTGCTGCACCAGAGGCAAGGACACGGCTCATGGTCAGCAGAAGGATGCCGAACGTGGAAGGGCAAAGCCTCATTCTCGCGCGGGCGTCTCAGACGGAAGGGGGGGGGGGCGAATTGATGTGCCCCCACCCGCATGCGCATGCATGGACGTCAGCGCGCTACGGTGTGTCGGTGTCTCATCGCCAAATGGACACAGAACTCTGTGTGTCAACGAGAGTGTCTGTTACACATACGTTAACTCATAGCGCAACGGCAGGCAGAGTCTGTCGGTCTCTCATGAAACGAACTGCGTCGACGAGTGTCTGTTACGCATCGCGAGTAGAAAAAGAAAGGGAAACTCCACGCAAGTCACCAGGAGATCTGTCACTCTTTGGGCAGGGTCTCGAATGTATCGTACCAGCAGCGCTCGTCTCGGAATACCACCTCGAACAGTGTCTCTGCCTCGGGGTCATCCGATGGACCGCTGCAGACGGTGGATGCAAGGCAAAAGAGGCAGATGAGACATGTGCGCGTTTCTTGGGATGACTAACAGATAAGTGATGCAGCTCACCTGAAGACGTGATCGAGTATACTCTTCAGATCGATGGCCTTTGAGCCGGCCATCATGCCAACGGTAAAAATGCTGGAAGAGGGGAGAGAGGGAAGGATTCTCACGCAGGACACACGACACAGCTGCACTGTTACCTGGGGACTAGCGTCAGGAACAATGCATTGTAGCCTGTACGAGAACACACGAAGACACAGGAGGAGACATAGCCGAAAGTCATGCAGAACGATTAGACTATGGAGTACCAAGTTCGAGGCCCATTCGGCTGAACTCGACGGCCCATTCCAGCGCGACAAAATGGCGGGCGTCTTCCTCGCTGAAGCCATGACGCTGCTCAAGAAAGTGGACGACACTGCACAGATCAGAAAAGAGCACATGAATGAGAGCCGACGCATGATTAACACTTTTGCCTTCAACGCACCCGTCAGTGCGGAGGGAGAACTCGGAGAAAGCAGCTCGCTTCTTGAAGATGGAAGTAGCACTACTGACCACAGTGCCGATGCCCGAAGGCAAAGGATTCTGGAACAGATATCCGAGAGTCGTCAAGACCGAGCGTGAGGAGTTGGCGACTTTGAGGATGCCATCCTCAATGCACGCCGTCCTGTCGGTAGCACAACGATATCCTGACGAGACAACACACAATGCAGGTGACCGAGAGGGCACAAGGATGCAGTAACGCCAAAGTGAGGACCGAGGGTGCACTCTAAAGGAAACTCTGGAGAGAATACGACAGCATGCCGTCATTACAACAAAGCAGTGCAGCTCTGACTGTTACCGGGTGGGCACGAGTCCATTTCCTGGCTCTTAACGCAGACGTCTCTTTGCTCCTTCTCCATCTCTTTCCTCAGCCTTTCCACAGCAGCCGACAGATTCTCGATGAACATTTTGGTGGCCTCTGACGGATGGTGCGGCAGCTTCTCTGCCACAGACTCTACCTGCACAGACAGGACAGGTCGATGACAGTATTCACCCAAATGGCAGCTGTGTTGCCTGGCTGGCCGATCATACGCACCCAGTCCGGCTTCCACTTGCACACGGCGAGCAGCCCTGCACACATCCACCCCAGTCGGAGAGACAGACAGCAGACACGCATCATTTGCAGAGGAAGCCACCCACACCATCATGTACGCAAATCGGCTGACCGGGACGGATGGCGTCAGAGAAGCCAGGAATGGTGATATTGAGGCCCTGGGCATAGTGGTGGAGGGACGAGGCAGCGCCGCTATGCAATGCAGCACAGATGTCGATGGATGCATGTGCATGTGAGCTTCGCAAGCTGAATCGTAAGGCCAGATGAGGTGGAAGGGACACGAGGACAACGGAAAGAAGAAAGCAGAGCTTCATTATGATAGTCGATCGGCGGCGCGTCTCTGCCCCCCACAGCCACCCCCAGTCTCCCCTCTTCAAGGTGGGCACAGTGAGGTAGCCGTTCTTCTTTGGAGCCTCTAGCGAGCGGCATTTCGTGACGCTTCCCATCCCCGGGCCGTCCGCGGTCACGGTGCCGCCATGGGTTGCGGTGCGTCAGGAATGGAGAAAAAGGTGTGTGTGGGCATGACCGACACTGCGTGCTCTGTTATCGCATCGGGCGCCATCGTCGTGTTCTGGTGCTCTCACCATTCTGCAGCTGGTCTTCAGCAAGAACGAGTTGATGAGGTTGGCGGCGCCTGAGACGCATTGTGAGCTTATGAGGCACCAGCCCCCGCTCGTGTGTGTGTGAATGGATGGATATTTGTGCCTTCTTCAGTCACGCTTGAGGAGGTTCAAGTCATCTACCGAGGTAACAAACGCTGACAAACGGATCCGGACGGACATCTCTCTCTCGTGTCTTGATGCCCGTTGCCTCTCCTTTGCTCATGATGAATTAAGAGTTCAGACGGCAGGCAGGTCACCGAAAGCCCATGATAGGCGGGCTCAACCCGGTGCAGTTCCTCAATCTCTTTGACCTGGCCAACGCCGTCTCGTACACGTTTGCGGAGCGGTTCATCTACCTCTTCTGGCGGCATCGCACTCAGGGGGTCATCGACATCGGCTTCGAGGAGTTCATACGCGTGTTCTCCGTCTGGACGAGAGGTGGGCAGGGAGGGCCACTGTGCCTCTCTAGGGGTTTCTTGATGTGATTGATGGGCGTATTGTTGTGTGTTGTGTGTGGTGTGTGGTGTGGCAGGGTCGCCGTCGGAGAGGCTTGGGTGTAAGGAAACGAAGGCAAACAGAGGGAGGGAGAGGGATGGGTGTGGGCAAGGTTCTGCTCTTTTCTCTGGTCTGGCTGGCTGACTGGTTGGCTTGTGTTGGTTTAGTGGTATTTCGCTTGTACGACAAGCATGAGAAGGGGTATTTGCTAAAGCAAGACATTATCGACTTCCTCCAGTCACTCTTCGAGGGCTACCAACAGGTCAGCCTAGCATACCACACAAACACACAGACACAGACACAGACACACACATGACAGTGACACGCACTGCACTCATGGGGATGTGTCTGTGTGCATGTGTGTGTGTGCATCTATATGGTTCTCCTCAGTCGAACATTTTGACGTACGAGAAGACTTCACCGGAGTTCAAGGCACAGTAAGCACACAGACCACAAGAAGGACGGCCACTCACCGACCCTGTTGACCCCCTCTCAGAGTTGAGTTGCAGGCATACGACCGCGAGACACTGGCAAGGTGATTGAACATACTTCTTCTATGTCTCGTCCGCCCCGCCATGTTGGCCATGTGTGGATGCATCAGGGAGAGCCACCTGCTTTTTGATCGCATAGCCACGGACGCCATCAGGGCCTTCCACACACGCGACGATGCTGAGCTGCTCTGGGTGGACGGTCAGCCTGCACAAGACACCACAAGACAGAACACGCCTATCTGTGTGTGTCTCTGTGTTTGCGGCCATTATACAGAGTTCCATGCATGGCTGGTCAACCAGCCTGGGATTCTGCACTTCCTCTGCATCCCCAACGATGTCAACCACTGGCTGGACGGCGGGGAGCGGCCAAAACCCAAACCTGTCCCACAGATGGGCGTGTACTACGGCTTCACCAGACTGCCCTCGCTCCGCAAACCGCCACCAGCAAACATGTCTCAAAACGTACGTGTGTGTGTGTGTGTGTGTGTGTGGTTGTGGTTGAGAGAGGGGAGGAGGGAGGAGGGAGGTGTGCGATGTGTACCTCTCTTTCACATGTATGCATGTGTGTGTGCTGATTGATATGATCAGGGAGGCGGAAAGAGGCCGGCGCCCATTGCGGATGGTAGCTCTGGCACACCCAGCAGGACACACTCGGAGATATGATGGATCAGAGAGATAGGGAGCGGGAGCATCGTGTGTGTCGATGCACTTGTACACGAGACGGACACGCATTCACTCACTCACTGACACACAGATAGATAGATAGATGGATGGATGGACTGCCCCACACCATTCATGTCACAGATAGGATAGAGGGATGCACTCATCCAGGTAGTCAGTCACATGCACACGATACATGGATGGGCGGACACTCGCTGCATGCTTTCCTCTGAATGCGATAAACCATTGGTCTGTCTGGTATGCCGTGTCTTATTGATTGCGCATTCGTCGGTCTGCCGGCCATCATGCCTCCTCTGGGCTGGGTAGGTATGCTATCGTTGCTCTTACAAAGGTGACGGCGGCAGTGAGGCCACGCCGCCGGTCTTCGGCACGGCAGCATCGGCGGCAGCACACACCGACGGGCTGGCCAGACGCAGAAACGCGTCAGTGTACTCCTGTTGGCACACACATAGATAGACACGCATAGCACCATCAGTGCGCGAATGTGTTTCGTGTTTGTTCTTGTCTGTCTGGTGTGCTCTTCTTGTGTACATTTGCTTGGTGTGTACAGGCAGAGGGCACGAAGGCAGAGGTTTCGCTGTCACCCGGGCCGCCCCAGTGGTCCTGCGAACGACGCAGACACATACGCAAGCGCATTGGCCCGTTGTGTTGTGGCAAAATGCATGGGAGCAAGTCCATTCGCTGACTCACGCGTGAGAATGGCTTGAGTGTGCGGGCTCGTTTGGACCCGACGGCCACCCCGGTGTGTTGGTGGACCTTGTAGGAGAGGGCAGATGCCAACGACGAACTTACCACACCATCCTCACGCACAGCATTCTCCTGCACGACACGACACACAGCTGGATGTCTGCCTGCAATGCAGGCCCGTGTCTGTGTCTGTTGTCAAGCGTCTCACCCGCTGGCGTTTGCGTGCATGACATCCCTCCTTGGATGGGCCCCACTCGGTTGGTGCGTCGTGCGATAATGACAGCAGCGAGGATGGCGTGTCAGGGGGGCACCCACTGCCGCCGTCACAGCCATCACCGTCCTCCGACACTGCACACACGCACAGAGGTGTCCACGTCTCCCTTGGACTTCACCCATCCATCCATCCATCCGTGTGACGTGTGTGCATGTGTGTGTGTGTGTGTGTGTTTGCTTTGTGCATTGCGTACACCATCGCTGCAGGAAAAGTATCTGAGGCAGCTTGACGAGACACTCGTTGCTCGCATGGTGCAACTCGAAGTGCAGCTGCCCACACGAACTGCCGTCGCCGAGGGAAGAGCTGTCCTTCATCCACACACAAACAAACAAAGATGACACACCCATGATCGACACAAAGAGAAAGACAGAGAAATCAACACAAACAGACGAGTGCGCAGGTGTGACTGACTGACTGCGGTGGGAGTATGTCGGTGCTGTCCACTAGTTCCATGCACTGCGTCTGGTCTTCCGTGAGCGACAGCACCTCACTGTCGAGCAGGTTGGCGTCGCCGCCGTCCACAACGATGCGCTCCACCGCCTTGTAGGCCCTCACCGTCACACTCGACATCCGCCACCTGCACACACACACGCACCGCCACCTCTTCTCTACCATGTTTCTCAGGGGCGGCCAGGTCGCTGACGTGTTTGCGTTGAGTCCGATGACCGTCCCATCGGTGCGGCTGCTCGACCGCACAAAGATCTGCAGCAGAGATGCGTCCGCACCCATCCATCCATCCATCCATCCATCCATCCAGTAATCAATCCATCAGCCTCTCTACCGGTGCGAAACGGTGCAGCAACGTGACGCTCCCCATCGCTCCAACACACATCTCGCCACATAACTGCACCAGAGGAGACCACGGCACATCTCATGGTGCAACGATGCCCCGCCCTCCCTGCTCTGCTCTGCTTTGCTTTGCTTTGCTTTGCTCTGCTCTGCTCTGCTTTGCCTCTCCCACCCGATGGTGCGTGAGTTGAGAACCCGTTTCGTCCTCGAAGCAACCCATAGACACCACCTCAACACACATTGGGCTCTCGCCGTGATTGTCAACCTTGACATGGAACCGCTGGCCGGAGCGCAGCAAGACGATCACCTTCTCGTCCGATGAGTCCTCGACAGCCTCACACGACTCGTCCACGAGTCTGCAATTAATGCCACGGAGAGCGGGCGGAAACACAAACAGATGTGCTCATCGTCCATCGTGCTCGTTGGCGATTTTGGACGTGCTTACTTCGCCAGGGGGACGTCGCCTTTCTCATTGAGGAGAGTGGCGGAGAAACACTTACAGTGTGAAGTGCAAGGCACCCAATTCGACGACATCGGCATCTTGTTTTGACCTTTTGTCCCTGGCCACCTGTAAACTCTGTGACAAGTGTGGCTGGGGAGGGATGAACAACCCAACGACGCCCCACTAGACAGACAGATTGGAGGCAGGCGTGCCGGGAGAGGAAGAGGCCCATAAGGTGTCAGTGCTGCTATCTGGGAGGCGATGAATAACCCAACGACACCCCGGAAGACGCCACGGGCGAAGCCAGCGCGGCACACCAAAGGCGGCGCCCTTTCCTCATCACCGAATCCCAAGCGCCAGCAGCAGCAGCAGCCGCCAGCAGCCAAACCAGATCTGCCCAACCCCTTCGCGTCGACCCCGGCACCACCCGCTGGCGAGAGCCCTTCGTCGTATGATGACCCGTTCCCCCTCCTCCCCAGCCCATCGGGCGGATCCGGCCCGCTCCCCGTGCCGCCGTCGCTGTTCGCATCTGCTGCCACCCCTCGGAGCGGTCGGGGTGTGGAGGATCTCGAGCTGACGGTGCTGTCGTTCGCGCAATGGCTGTCGGACATGCAGTCGCGGTCCAACGCGTCCGTCCAGACAATGGCGGCAGAGATGAGCGCCATCAGCCATGGGCTGCAGGCCAACAGCCAGGAGCTGACGGAGCTGAAGCGGCAGACGGCGGTGGTGCAGCAGTCGTTGCAGAGCCAGATCACGGCGCTGCGCGACAGTTTGTGTGAGGGGTACAGCGAGATAGATAGGCTGGAGAAGGGCAAGTCGGTGTTCATGAAGGAGATCAAGATGGAATACCAGAGCCTGCATGACCAGATGCAGTTCAAGACCGTCGAGGTCGACACCCTTCGCACCTCTTACCAGACCACACTGACCTCCTTCGACGAACAAATCGACGGCCTCAAACAGGTAGGTACGGTACCAGCTGCCCCCCAACACCAGCCCCACAACCATCTGTCTGTTCTTTGTCTCTCTCTTTCTGTGGCCGTTCAGGGCGTTCATGATTACCGCCGTGCCTCCCAGGAGCTGCGCAAGGTGTCCCAGCTCAACCAGCAGGCCCAGGCGCAGACTCTGGCGGCCCTCCAGGCCACCGTCACCCGCGAAGCCGAGGTCTTCACGGGTTTCATCGCCGACCACGAAGAGACCTACACCGACCTCTCTGAGAGCATGGACTCCGCCAAGGCGAAGCTCACGGCGTTTAGAGAGGAGTTCGAGCAGTGGAAGGACGGCATGCAGGCCAGCCAGCGGGCGCTGCAGCAGGAGATATGGAGCAGGGAGAAGGACAAGGGGCGAGACCCGCTAGGGGAAGACCAGGAACAGTGCAAGGTGAGTGAGTGCAATGATCTACTGGTCGACGGTGCCTCTCATCCCCTCTGTGCATCATTCCTTCAGTTGTCGCCGCGCCCGTCGAAGCCGGAGGGTGCGAGTCTGAGGGAGATCGACACTTCCCCTCCGAGACGAGGCGACCATCCCGACATGCCCCAGGCCAGACGGGTGGTCATGCCGGCGAGCGGGGGTGGGGGTGGGGGCGGCATGCGGCTCTCCCTTCCCGCCGCAGCACCCAAGGCGACTGCCAGTGGGGCCCGGCAGGTGGCTGCATTGCTGTCGCCGCGGCTGGATGAGCGGGAGGGTCCGACTGTACCGCGGCCACATGGTCCGTATGTGCGTCCTCCTCCCCCTCCCCATCCCCAGGGAGGGCCCCATCCCTTCTCGCCGTTCCCGCCTTACCCCTACTAGACAGACAGACAGACAGATAGCCTGACGAACCTAGATGTAGGTGGGTAGCGACGGAGGAGCCTGGGGGGCGGATGGATGGATGGATAGGTGTGTGTGTACGTAGCTGTGTCAGAGGGGGATTGCTTCAGATGTGGCTGGCTGCCTGGTTGGGTGCCTGCATGTGTGATTGAATGCGCGTGTCAATGAATGGACGCTCGGGTGTCTGTCGGATACATGCATTTCACTGTATTATTGAGCCCATTCAATCGTCACTGATAATATCGTCAATGGGATCCATACGGACGGACGCACAGGCATGCAACAAATCCCCACACAAACACAAACAAACACGTACGCAGTGCCTTCAGAGTTGGTTTCTATCTGAGGTCCTTGAGCGACATGTTGGTGTCTCGCTGCACGGCTGCAGTGAGGAAGTCCCTCTTGTCGACCTGGTTCTTGTTCTTCCACTCGAAGTAAGGCAAACTCACCACCTACACACACGCACACCCACACACACACACACACACACACACACAGAGCATCCTCCCTCTCCTGTGTGTGTCTTAAGTATTCGTTTGCCTACCTTCCACCCGGCGGCCTCGAGTATGCGTCTCCTCAGGCGTGACTTGAGCGTGAAGCGCCGCGACAACACATAAAAGTGCGTGAAGCCATCCACCTCCAGGACAACCTACAACCACACACGCAGGCAACGCATAGCATATGTGGGCGAGGCGAGTGCCGTCGATGTCAAATAAAGGAATAGCTCACCATTTCGTCAGGTACGGCGAAGTCGACCACATAGGGGTAGATGGGCATCTCCTTCTTGTAGCGCACCTGCAGGTCGTCCAGCAGGCGCTCCACACGCACCTGCATCGTCGACGGAGTGGGGCTGTTGCCCAGCCCCACACCCTTCACGTCACACAGCAGCTTCGACACCTCTGCCGGCAAACCCCGCTCGCCGATTGCTGCACCGAGGGCCGTGGCGCAGTACTGAATGCACGCATCGATGATGTGTAGCTGTCGCACACACACGCGCAGAGCACAGCACAGCACACTAGAGGGGTGGAGGACTCACGTGTGGACTCTACACCTGTCTTATTTCAGGCAGCACAAGCTCCGATTGCCTCTTAACGATCTCCTTCATGAGCCGCAGAAAGAGCGACACGCTCACGTCGGTCCGCTCGCCATCGTCAGCAGGCAGGACGCCGCGCTCATCACATGCCAACGGGGGGTCCAGCACGTCAAGACTCATCTACACACCAACACACACACACACACACACACACAGAGGGGCGAACATGCAGACAGACACCCACAGCTGTGACAGGCTGACCAGTGCAAAAGTGCAGTTGACGAGGCTCTGCAGCGGCAGATGGGCGATGTGCTTGGGTATCTCGCGAAACAGCAGCACACCCAACAGCCAGTGACCATAGTCCAGCTTGAGCAGCGCAAACACCACCGCAGATATCATGGAGGGATCCACCACGCGGGGCCCTCCAATGCCAATGCCCCCCTCAGTCACTTTCTGGCCCATCGTGTCAGCCAGCAGGTCGAGCGCCAGGTGGTCCCTGAGATCGATGCGTCCGTATGCCGTCACGACGAGCGCCAGCTCGAAGACATTGTAGAGGTGCACCGACCGCCGGATGGTCTCTGTGAAGGCCATCAGTGTGGAGTCGTCGAGGAACTGGAGCTTGCCCAGGTCGGACAGGAGGCCGCTGATCTGACGGGGCGTCAGGGAGTGCTGCTTCGAGATGGCCTGCTGACACAGCTTGGTCAGTAAGCTGTGCTGCACCCACCCACCCACCCACCCATCCACACACACACACACACACACACACAGTGAGTCTGTCTGTCTGCCCGTCGTCCCTCACTGACCTTCTTGAAGGCCACCCTCGCACAGGCGTGGACGACAACACACACCTGCTCGGCCGTGAAGCTCCTGGCCATGGGCAAGGCCATCTCGGTGAACTGGTTCCACATGTGCCTGTCCGTCATCTTGGACCGCGACGCCTGGTCCAGCAGAAACGCCATCTGACCGGGTTCGAGGCTCATCGCATCCCCATCAGACGAGAGGCCCAGCCCGGATGATACTGATAGTTGCGCCTCGGGGCGCGGGCGTGTGTAGAGGGCATCTGCATTGAGGTGCCGGACGGGAATGCGATGACGGCATGGCGGGAGGGCGTGCTCGACGCCATGCTCGGATGGGATGATGATGATGTGAGTTGGTCTTCGTCTGATGCCTCGGCTGGAGATCTGCGCGTTCCGAAGCATAACACAGGGAGGGGAAGAAGAGGCCTCGCGCAGTGCGGCAGAGCAAGACTAGAGAGAGACTGGAAGCGTGCGGACGTGCGCGCTTGAAGTTGGCAAGCTTGTGAAAAACAAGATCTGCCATCCTCGCGGTTTCCTTGGCTGCCAAATTGCGATTCTGAGGCCCGCAGGTGTGTTGGTGTTGCTGCTGTTGAGATCCAGGCAGCCCGCCCGCGTGATTGAGTGATGGATTCTGACGAGGAGTTTCAGTTTGAGAGTGACGATGACGGGTGGGGCGACCAGCAGGAGGAGGACGAGGAGACCATCAAAATCGAAAACACATTCTACGAAGCCGACGACAACAAACGACACGACCCACAGAAGGTAAGGTACACACGCACACACGTACCCTATGGCATGGCAGCTGGCCACACTGCACACAAGAGATTGATTGCAACACAACACGACAGGACAGGCAGAAGCAAATGCAACAGATTCATGTGTGTGTGGACGTGTGTGTGGTGTGCATGTGCTGTGCGCGTGTGTGTGCTGTGTGCAGGCGCTGTCGCAGTTTTATGAGGTGGTGAGTGCGGAGAAGGCCCGTGGCGATGAGATCAACTACCGATTCAAAGCCCTACAGAACATCGTCATCCTCTGCTGCAGACTCGGTGACGTACCCTGGCACGCACCACCACGACACACACGACACACACGTCCATTCCGTGCATTCCGTCGGTCCCTACTTACTCCACCAGGTCGTCTGGACGAGATGGCCCAGCAGTACCAGGAGCTGCTGGCCCTGATGGACAAGGTCACCCGCAACGACGCATCCGACGCTATCAACACCATCCTCGACTCCGTCTCGGGATCGGGCGCATCGGCGTCCGGCGGCGCGGCCGGCAGCGGTGACCTCAGCAAACTGGAGCGGGTCTACGCACTCACACTCACAAGGCTCAAACAGAACACCAGCAACCAGGTCAGCTGGGCTGGGCGGGGCGAACCAACCTACCGACAGATGAGATGAATGAATGACACACAGGGGATGGATGGGTATGTGCCGTGTCTGTGCAGCGTTTGTGGTTCAACACGAGCGTCAAGTTGGCCAAGCTGTACCTGGACACGCAGGAGTTCGGCAAGCTGCAGACACTCATCCGCGACCTGCACAAGTCGTGCACCACACCTGACGGAGCCGACGACACATCAAAGGGATCCGCACTGCTGGAGGTACACACACACACACACTGCACACACACACTAAACACCTGGATGTGTGTGTGTGTGTGTGTGTGTTGTCCGTGTCGCGTAGATCTATGCGTTGGAGATTCAGCTGTGCACTGTGACCAAGAATTCGCTGCGCATGAAGGAGATCTACCCCAAGACCATCAACCTCACCTCGGCCATCGCTGACCCCCGAAATGTCGCTGTCATCCGAGAGAGCGGCGGAAAGGTCAGCTCAGCCTTCAGCCTGCCCCCCAGGGACACTCACACTCACGCACATTCATGAGCTGTGTGTGTAGCCATTGGCTGAATGTGTGTGTGTGTGTGCAGATGTATATGAGTGAGAAGAAGTGGCAGAGCGCCTACAACGAGTTCTTCGAGGCCTTCAAAAACTATCAGGAGACCGGCAGCGGACGGTAGGGAGGCCATCCATGTCTGTCATTCATGTCAGGCATGCTCTTCTTCAGGGGCGAGACAGCGTGATGGACACACACGTGTGTGTGTGTTGTGTGCGTGTGTGTGTGTGTGTGATATCAGTGCTCGGATCATGCTCAAGTACGTGGTGTTGGCCAACATGCTGGCCTGCATGGACATCAACCCATTCGACTCGCGAGAGGCAAAAGTCTACCAGGTACCATGACATCAACACAACAAACGCATGGCACACAACACACACACACAACCAACTCGAACCAACACACACAGGAGGACCCCGAGATCAAGGCCATGTCGGAGCTGCGTCAGGCTTTCGACAACAACGATGTTTCCACCATTGACAAGGTAGGTCAGCCAGCCAACCACGCCCTCCCTCCCTCCCTCCATCCATCCATCGTGTGTTGTGTTGGTTGATGTGTGGTGTGCAGCTGCTGACCAGTTCCCGAGCGGGCATACTGCGCGACCCCCTCATCAAAGAGTACCTCGAGGACCTGCTGCGCAACATCCGGTGGGTGCGTCAGTCACTCGTCCACGAAGTGGACACAGAGGTGTGTGTGATGTTTCAGGCTGCAAGTGCTGAAGAAGTTGGTGGCCCCCTACCGCACCGCAGGCATCGACTACCTCTCCAAGGTACGCACACCAAACACGACACACGACACACGACAGACAGACAGCGTCTGCTCTGTGTGTGTGTTCTGGTGTCGCTCACGTTGCTCCTGCAGGAGTTGAATGTGCCGAAGGACGAGGTGATATCTCTGCTGGTGCAGCTCATCCTCGACGAGAAGATCAATGGAGGAATCGACGCCACCGGAGGATACCTACAGGCAGGCACACCCATCACCTAACCCATCCTCCCCTCTCACACGTGATGTGCAGTGCAGTGCACCGGTGCTTTGGCGTGTTGTGTTGTGTGTGTGTCTCTGTTTCTTTAGATGTACACGGAGTCGTCGTCGAATCACATGCGCTACAGCAAGTGCAAGCAGTGGGTGGAGACCCTCCAAAAGATCAACAACTCACTCAACTCGAGACTCACCAACATGGCAGGCGCACGATAGATGAGATGGACACACACACACACACACACACACACCGAGAGGGAGGGAGGGAGGGAGGGCTGCTGTAGTGGGTGGGGGCATCCCTCTGTGCTCGGATCAAGCAGCAGCAGCGGAAGACAGGACATCTGTGCATTGGCCCGTTGGTTCGTTGGTTCATTGACGTGAGTGACCGTCCTTACTTGACGATCACTTACATACTTGACAAACAATGGTGGTGGGGTAGTGTTACATGAGTACTGAAGAATAATGGAGAAGGTGTCCGTCGGACAGGGAGTGCTCGTGTGTGCGTGTGGCGTTTCTGTGCGTTGCAGCAGTGAGTGCGTGAGTGAGGTAGCTACGTGCTCTGCCTGCCTGCCTGCCTGCCTGCATGCATGACAAGATTTATCCACTTATCAGACTGAGTCATTGAATTTGACATTCATCGTGTGACATCCATCCTCGTGTGTGTGTGTGTGTCATCGCCAACACAGACACACACACCACAATAATCCCACCGCTTGTCGGTCGTCTGTCTGTCTGTCTGTCTTTCCACACACATAACATAGACCGACCAGCAGACAGACATCCACCCACTAGCTGTACAGGACACCCACCCGTTCTACGTAACAAGGTCGGTCACATAAATCCCTCCATCCCTCCATCTTGTGTCCCCCACCCTGGCCACCCACTCAATCACTCACCCATCTTCCATCTCATCTGCCCGACCATTGCCCCCGTAGCCGCTGCCTGATGACGGCGGCTGCTGCTGCTGCTGGTCCCCTTGCCCCTCCTTGACCTCTCCTCGGTCACCTGTCTGAGTGTCCGTCATGCAGGCGCCCACCAGCATGCGGCTGAAGAAGTCCTTCTGGCGCGACTCCGCCTCGCGCAAACGACGCTTGCACTGCATGGCATGAGATGGATGGCATGCAGTGCAGTACACACGACATGTGAGAGTGCCACTGTGTGTCTGTGAGTACGTTCTCCAGTTCGCGGCGGATCTCAGCGTTCTGCGGCTCCAGCTTGGCAGCCTGCGAACGGGAATTGGGTGCGACATGGGTTGTCGTTCGTCTGTCTAAGTCGTGTGGTGTGGTGTGGTGTGGTGTGGTGGCTGACTGCGTACCTACCTCGAGCAGGTCCCTCCTGCCCTCCTCGATCGCGCCAAACTCAGTGTTGGCGCGGCCGCGGCGAAACAAGGCCTTGGCGCACCGCTGACCGATAGATAGGTTTGGCCATAGGTGGACTGACTGATGGCTATGTATGGGAGGTGTGTGGGTGGTGTGGGGGGGGGGGGGGGG